ACAAAAACTCAAAAATGCAAAAACAATAATAAATAGTTATAATTAGGGAACGGATTTAAATGCTCTAAAAAACAAGAAAAATGCCTTAAAAAATGTTCTAACAACAAAAAATGCCATAAAAAACTTTAAAAATGGGTTTATATTCAATAAAAAAAAAAAATTGTATTTAAAACTTAGAAAAAACACATTATTATGAAAAATCWAATAAAAAATATTTAAATACAATACAACCTTAATTAATTAACTTAAGATAAATAGTTTATCGTATTTTATCTCTTATCTTTACCTTAATGTGGGTAATAATCTGTTGTAACTTGTATGTATATTTTGTGTCTACACGTGTCAACAATAATTTCGTGATTTCGTAACATAATACATATTTAGGTATTATAATTTTTTTTATAATGAATGTTGAAAAAATAACTTAAAAACCACAAAATGCCCAAGAAATTAAAAAAATTGCTCTAAAAATGCATTAAAGTCTTAATAATGCAAAAAAATGCAAAATAAAAATTACATTTTTTAATTCTTTGATGTATGAAATGAACTTTTTGCTTGGAAACCAATGTTTTTGGACATTCAGAAAAAAATGCAATTTGCATTCAAATCCGTTCCCTAGTGATAATTAATAAATAATCCGTCTTAGATTTGAAACCAATAGCAACTTTACAATATATGTATAAAAATATTTTATATTTGGTATATTTTTTTATTGGAAAGACGGCGAAACTATTGTATTTTAGATTCTGCGAGCGGGGCGAGGAATGTATTGATTTTACCATGATGTGTGTTTTTATTTTATTTATTTTTTTTGTGTCTGTCATCATGTTTTGGGGGAGTAGCAGTGCTTTGATTTTCGACTTCATTACCTTGTTCTATCAGAAAATGAATCTAATCGGTACTTTAGGGGGGTCAAAAGTAAAAAATTCACAATATTTTTCTTAATAATTGGGATAAACAAACTAAAAATTAAGGAAAAAACGGGAATATTTACGCAGAATAAATTTTCGACAAAATCGATTTTGGTTTTTAATGTAACTTTACCATCGACACTTGAAATTTTCACCGAAAATTCATAGTCACAACTTTTTTTATAAGCATGTAAAGTTTGAATTTTGACAAAATACGTAAAAATTACGG